TGATCATGCTCAATCAACTGCTCAGCAGGCAACATATTGGTGTTTCTGGGGCGTTGAATAGGACACAAAAATCATGGCTACTATGTCAGACTGCAAAATACAGTGTTGCCTACAGAGCAGCTGCTTGATCATGTCATAAAATTACTAATCTCTTAAATAATTAATAACTTTTTCCTGTCTCGTTTAACATAGAAACGATCTTCAGCAAAGATGTAGCTGAGAAAATTTTCTATAAGAGTGGCTATCGATCTGTTTCGCAGCTCAATATGGAAAAAGACTAGAAGGCAAGGAACAAAAAGTTGAGATTTCCCATAGTAATTTACATGTAAACTTCAAATGGCTTGTGCGAAGTCTGTTTCTAACCAAAAGAGTTGACACTTTCGAAGGCTTATCAGGACCCGATTTGAAACCATTTAAGCACTGTGGAGCGAAAAAGTCAAATTTTGCATCAGTCTATTGGCAAATCAAAGTTGGCACTCGTGGAGAATAGAAGAACTATGAAAGTGATGATGGTTTCAAAATTTTCCACGGTGAGGTATACAAATGCAATCTTAAAATGCTTGTATTTTGCAAATGGAGCATTTTATTTAAATCTGGTTGCTGCTACAGTTGTAGAAAACCTGAAATCTATGTCTACACATAAAAATCTGAAAAGAAATTATTTTTTCTATATTATGTGTGCATTAAGTAGTCCTTAAGTTTTCTACTAGCGTAGCATTAACCAGATTTAAATAAAATGCTCCATTTGCAAAATAAAAGCATTTAAAGATTGCACTCGTATACCTCACCGTGTAAAATTTTGAAACCATCATCACTCTCATAGTTCTTCTATTCTCCACGAGTGCCAACTTTGATTTGCCAATTGAGCATCCTTGCTTAATGCCCATTCCCTTGATCCTCTCCTCTGAGTATACTCCTTCCCAGCGAACACACGTACGTTCTGCATTCAGCGCCTGTATCAATCTGTTGATTAAACGGCTAGGTACATTCAATTCTTCCAGAATTTGCTGCACCGAAGCAATTTCAACAAAATCGAACGCTTTCTTAATATCTATCGATGCTACTATAATTGTGTTTCCGCAGTTCCAATTTTCCTCGCAAAATACATTTGGTCATATGTTGATCTGTTCTGTGTGAATGCTGCCTGGTGATATCCTGGATTTCCTGCGAACTTACGTAATCTGTTGACCAGCCATCTTCTATAAATTTTAAAAATTTATATTACAAAGCGTCATTCTCCTATTACCTCCTGTTTCTTTTGCTGATTTTTTCTTTGGTATTGACATATGATTGTTTCCACTGTTCTGGCATTCCGTTGGTTGTCCATACCCGCTTTATGATGCTGTATATCTCATCTATGCTGTCCTCATCGCTGTATTTCAAAAACTCATTATTGATTCCATCTAGACCCGCTGCTTTTCCATTTGCTAACCTTTTTATGATCTCCTCTATTTCTACTTTCTTACTTGGCGCTTCTGTTAGTTCTTCTTTATCTTCTCCTGCTTCCAATTGCTGTCTTTTCGTTAGCTCTAGTTCTTCGATCCATTTTTTCATTGGAATTAGTGGTTTTTTTGGCATTTTTTTCCTAACAAATTGTTGTAAGACCCTATTGGCAAATCAAAGTTGGCACTCGTGGAGAATAGAAGAACTATGAAAGTGATGATGGTTTAAAAATTTTCCACGGGGAAGTATACGAGTGCAATCTTAAAATGCTTTTATTTTGAAAATGGAGCATTTTATTTAAATCTGGTTACTGCTACAGTGGTAGAAAAGCGGAAGTCTATGTTTACACCTAAAAATCTGAAAAGAAATTATGTTTTCTGCATTATATGTCTATTGAGTAGTCCTGAAGTTTTCTACTAACGTACCACTAACCAGATTTAAATAAAATGCTCCATTCACAAAATAAAAGCATTTTAAGATTGCACTCGTATACTTCCCCGTGGAAAATTTTGAAACCATCATCACTTTCATAGTTCTTCTATTCTCCACGAGAGCCAACTTTGATTTGCCAATACGATCTCTTCATTCTCTCTCCTACCTCGTAGTGTTGTAATTCATTGTAAAATTTAAAAACTTTTTCACATTGTGTTCTTTCGCTTTAAATATATACTCCTGTCTTCTACAATTTAAGTTTTACCTATGCCATTTCGTAGCTATTCCTTTTTCTTTTGCAAACTTCGTGTCTTTTGGTGCGATAATCATTATCTGAATGTTTCAGCTCTTTTGACGTTGCACGGGCTGGCGCTTTTGGTTTAGTGTTCATATAAGAGATTTGGTTGAAATTTGCATATACAAAATGCTCATATACATTCAAAAGCGAATATCTCATTAAAACTAACTGGATTCATAATGCAGTCTTCAGCAAAGGACTTTTTTATGATCGACAGAGTGAGGGGTGTCATTTTTCATGTATTTTATCCAAATTTCCCATACAAAATTGCAACTGAAAGCGCCAGCTCATCCTACAGACAAATGAGCAAAAACTTTCAGAGGATGGTTTTCTCACTTAAAGGTACATATCTGGAGGTTGGTCCGTGGAAAATTAGAACTTTTATTTTTGTGGGCCAGTTTAATCAGAACCCAAGTCTTAACCACTTCAAACTACTGAACAACAAATAGAAGATAAGGAATCACATAGATGAAGACTAACTAACTCATTTTTTCCTGGTTTAAGATCATCCTTGATGGACAAAGCCGAGTCTTGTCACAACAAGGCATAAAAAGTAACAAGAGCTAAGATGTGTTCCTTTGATTACTGAAAAATACTGTTCCCCAAGTTTGAAGTAGTCAGGACTAGAAATCGGTGGTAGATCTTACAGCCCGTAACGTACCACGAAAAGGTGATCCACCCAGTAGACTGGACGGTGAGTATAAAGAAGCAACGGTTTAATGATTTGAAGAAGTTGCAAGAACAGCAACACAGCAGCACAGCAAGTCACCAATCAGGAAACATCAGAAAAACTCATCGGACTCATGCTTACTAAGAAATAGTATTTTTATTGATTCTAAATCTGTTTTTACTAGCCGAACTCAGAACGACAATTTTACCGATAATATATACATTGAGACAGATGATATAATCCATCACAGTTTCAAATCATATAAATTTTATAAGCAATGATCTTCCCTGCATCAAGAAGGAATCCAATATAGAGGATTCCTGACTTTATTTTGCTGTAGTAGTACAAGTATCGACATTAGATTTGTTTACTTTGCCAATACTTATCAAATTTAAGACTGTCACCTGATAAATCCTTCAGTCGAACGGCATTACATCAGATTTCAATAGTAATTGAATTTCCGTTCATCAATCGGCAATGAAGCATGAAACCCCAGGACCACTTTCAATTCCGAGCGTTTCTTCCGCACTTCGCCTTTAATTTTAGGGATCACAGCTCTTGGAACAAGTTGAATCACCTCCTCCCTTCCTCAACTCAGCCGTAAAGTAGTCCACTTTCCTCACCCTGATATTTTCCCAAATCGGCGGCAACGTAAAGGAAAACAATAAAAAAATATTTCCATCATAATTTCATTCAACACACATTTTATTATCCTTCCCAAGTGAGTCTATTACGAAAGGGAAAACACACCGGGGAGTGAGCACACTTTCCTGCCGGAAGTTATCTTTTCTCCCAACAACGGAACGCACGGGAAGTAAAGTGCGTTCGGCCTTTTATTTGGACTGCTTTTGCCAGGAGCAGGAGGATAAAGAGCATTAAATTGTATAGTGAGATCCTCCGGCAAGGGGCGCAGATGTTCTCTGTGATGCACCGGCGCTCGGTAGTCCCTTTGCCAGCATGGACTGGACGACGATGATGACGACGAAGTTGGTTAGCCAGTCGGCGATGTGATCGATGAGAATGAAAGTAGCAATTTTCCAATCGAGACCTATTGATTACGACAGTAGGGCAGGGTAATTCAATTCGGATGGGTTTATTCGATTTATTGCGCAATAAGTGGCTTTGATTTACTTTCTCGCTAGGTGGGTACATGCATAGTGAGCTCATCGAGCTGGGATGCAACAGTACGGGGAAAGGACTTTAAAGTTGTGTGGTCAACCAACGGTTTGAAAGGCTCAGTATCATTTATGAGAATATAATAGATTTCATAAAGTTGGGTTAGATGCATCACAAGCAATCTTACAAGAACTAACTTATCTCCCGTCCAATATAGTAAGTATTGCAGAAATATTCACACAATCTTCTTATGAAAAATTTCGTCAGAGTCCCATGTGTTTTTCTTTAACGAGCTGTAATCATAACAACATTTTTACGATCATCCAATAAATTATACTTAACGCTTTTCATGTGTCGTAAAAAAACAATTCCTTCTAAACAGTTTTTTTTTCTCATCAACTGAAACAGAATGCAGAACCACAGAACGACGATGCAGAGGGACACGAGGTACCTTTAAAAAAATGGATACAAATCCAAAATCAGCACCGTTTAAGTTGTTTAGGACACTTTACCGAACGTAAAACGGCACAGCAACCCATCGCGAAGCCGTCTGTAAACACTGATAAAAATTATGCTCACCAAAATTTTGTTTACGCACAATAAATTGTCCTCCCGTGCTGCACCTTTTATACATACCACCACATACGAGATGCAAGAGATAAAATGAAACGAACCGCAAACAAGCTTCCATAAAGTTACCCAACAACCATGAACACATCGCCAAATCACCCGTACTAAAAGGAGCAATTCAAAACAATAACAAACAACAGCCACCTACCTACCTAGCACCTTTCTCCCCAAAGCCAAACAAAGAATCGTCCCCTTCTTCTTCTCGCTAAGTGAAATAAGCTCGCTTAGTCCCTCGTCATCTTGTTTTATCGCAATTCGGTACACTTTTTTTTATATTAGCTAGCTACCATCCGCCTTACCAACAACCCGCCCCAATGCAAAGCTACCACCCCGCGTAAACGAAAAAATTGCTCCAAATAAACCAACCAACCAACCAGCCTAGGGGAAAGGGCAGCCGCAGCAGGGACTTACCTAAATAAACAGATGACATCTTCTTGGAGACGTTCTCGTCGATGTAGGTTACCCCGAGGGTGTACAGTGGCGATGCGCCGGCACCCAGCAGTAGCTGGGCGGTGAAGAAAAACCAAACATTCCAGGAGAGATTCTCCGTTCCGTCCATCGGGGAACCACCGTTGGCCGATGAGCAGCTCTGGGGGAGAAAAAAAAAACAAGGGAAAGTTTTATGAGGTAAATCGATAGGAATAGATTTGCTGGAAAATAAGAGACGTTTTTTTCGGTAGAGTTTTATAGTTCACTAAGACGGAAGAAGTCCTGCTGCATCTCATTCTATCTAGTTCTATGTCCATGTTAGTTGCCGCTGACAAGCTGTTCCGAACCCAAGTAGAACCAGACTCTGGCGTCTCCGACTCAACGATTTCAGTCGCAGCGCTGAACCTGCCTATTGGCAACGAAACGGCTTGCAAAAATCGACTACATCTGAACATATTTTATCTCAAGATGGAAAACATTCCGTGCATCTTTTCAGTGCTCTCTTTTATTCGCTGCCAGACTGTTGAGCAGTTCAGTCGATTTTTATTCTCTCTCGTTTCGTTCGTTCGTTCGTTCGAAACTCGAATTAGCTCCGCGTTATGTAGTGACGCTCTCGCTGACCCAGCCATGAGTAAGAAATCACGCGGTAACGCGAGTGCCGGTTTACCGGGAAAACAGCCTCTCCCAGGAGACGGTGCGACCACCGAGCCTGCCCAGAAGAAGCAGAAGAAAACCCCATTGCACGTCTCGACGGGCGTTGCGGACCCGCAGCCGGGGCCTCCCGGAACTAAACGACCCAGACCTGAAGACAGCGCCCTGCAGAACGGAGCCCAGCCGCAGTCGGACCCTGAGACGGTGCCGAAAAAAGTGAAGTTGCCACCCTTCTATGTGAAGGGCTTCCCTCCCGGGCTATGGGAGCAGCTGGATTTCTACATTAAGCAGGGCCTTCGTTGCACCATTCAACGGTGCACGGAAGACTACAAACTGATGGTCCCGGCCGAAAAACACTACAACGCAGTCCAGGCCCTCTTGGACAGGATGAAGCTGGAGTACTTCTCCCACGACGTCGAGGCCACCAAGCCGCTGAAAGTGGTGCTGCGTGGGCTCCACGACATGGACACCACCACCTTAATGGACGAGATTAAGGCGAACGGCCTCAAGCTGTCGAAATCCACAAGATGGCCCGCAGCAAGGCCATCAAAAATCGTGACCAGCTCTACCTGGAGAAGAACTCCACAACCGTGAAAGATCTCCAGACGACACGCACACTGTTCCACATCGTAGTGAAGTGGGAGCGGTATAAGCCGACCCACCGTGGTCTCACTCAGTGCTCGAACCGCCTATTGTTCGGGCACGGCACCAGGAACTGCCGCATGGCCAGCCGCTGCATCAAATGCGGCAAAAACCACAAGATCGACGACTGCGACAGCATCGAGGAAGCCGCTCCCACATGCGCCAACTGCGGTGCCGCCCACAAGGCCACGAGTAAGGCCTGTCCGAAGCGGGCCGAATACGCCGAGATCCGGAAGAAAGCCTCGTCCAACAACCAGCCCGGTCGCAAGAAGGTTCCGGAAAACAACGCGCAGAACTTTCCTCCGTTATCACCGGTCCAACCACGGCCAATTCCAGTGTTGCCGCCACTCCCGCTCAACCAACAGTTTGCTGCTGCCCAGTCGGCTGCCACTGCAGTACCTGGTCAAGCCTCCGGGCCATCGACGGATCCCCCTGCTCCGGGATTGGCCGGTACAACCGGCGAAGCTACAGACGATTCTCCGCTTTCAACGGATGAGATCGTCACACTGTTGGCCCAGGCCATCATCATCAAGCGCACCTGCGCTACAAGAACACAACAGCTCCAAGCAATCATCTCCTTCGTCGCTAATTATGGACCGTGAAGCTATAAAGATCGCCAACTGGAACGCTCGCTCCGTAGGGGCGAAAAACATTGAGCTTGCAGACTTCCGACGTGGGCCTTCTCACCGAGACTCACCTCAAGACCGGTGACAGCTTCTGGCTGCCCGACCACAGCATTGTCCGGCTTGATCGCACCAGCTCCAGGGGGGGGCGGTGTCGCGGTCATCATCAAGAAAGGCATCAAGTACTGCACCCTACCCCACTACCGCACTTCCATCATCGAGGCCGTTGGCGTAGAGGTGGAAACATCGACCGGAAACGTCCGGTTCATCGCCGCCTACTGCCCCCGGCAATGTACCGTTAGCAATGGTACAGCACAGCAGTTCAAGAACGACCTTGCCATCATAACCCGCAACAATGCCCGCTTCGTAATCGGAGGGGACCTGAACGCCCGGCACGAGGCCTGGCGGAACTACCAGCAGAACCAGAACGGCCGCCTACTATTCGACCATTCCCAGCATGGTCTCTATTCCGTCTGGTTTCCGGACGAACCAACCTTCACATCACCGGCGGGCAACCCATCGACGCTGGACCTGTTCTTGGCAAACACCAGATTAGCCAAGCCGGTTGCCGTCAACGACCTGGATTCGGACCACCAACCGATGCTGACCGAGCTGGGCTGCAACGTGGCCCCTGCACCGTGCCTGCGGAAGGACTACCATCGAGTCAACTGGGTCCAGTTTCGGTGCGTGGTCGACCGCCACATCGACGACAACCCACCGCTCGACACAGTGGGGGACATCGACCGGGCCCTGGAGGGTCTCCATTAAGCCATATCCGTGGCTGACGAAGAGTGCGTTCAACGAGTACCTGTGAGGGGTAAGTTTCAAGCAATTGATTCCCACACAAAAATCTTGATTCGGCTCAGAAATGTTCGTAGACGCCAGTTTCAGCGGACTGGAGATCTGCAGCGTAAATACAAAACGGTCGATCTGAATCGGCAGATCGCTTCCAGAATGGTCTCAATCCGGAACGAGAGTTTCGGGCGGCTCGTTCAGAACCTGGACGACCGTTCCAGACCATTCTGGAAGGTTGCCAAGGTGCTGAAGTCTCACCCCAAGCCCATTCCACCACTTAGAGTCAATGACGAACGGCTTATCACCAACGAAGAGAAGGCCAATGCGATTGGGGAGCACATTGCCCAGTCGCATTTGCTTGGCTCCAAAATCCCAAGTCCACTCGAGAACCAGGTTGCGCAGTGCGTCCAGACGTTAGATGCTTCCCCTTGTGCCGTCTGTCCAGAAGAACGTATTACAGAGGAACAAATTTGCTCAGCGCTGAAATACAGTAAGAACATGAAGGCTCCCGGGTTTGACGGAATATTCAACCTAGCGTTGAAAAATCTCAACCCGAGGGTGCACGCGCTGCTGGCTGCCATCCTCAACAGATGCTTGGAGCTGCACTACTTTCCAAGCATCTGGAAGGTGGCAAAAATCATCCCGATCCGCAAACCTGGGAAAGACTCTTCACTACCGTCAAGCTACAGACCGATTAGCCTGCTCTCAGCGCAGAGCAAGCTGTTCGAAAAATTGATCCTCAGCCGACTGAACAAGTTTGTGGAGGAACATGACATTCTTCTTCCGGAACAGTTCGGGTTCCGTAAGGGGCATTCCACCAATCATCAGCTAGTGCGGGTGATGAATAACATCCGAAGTAACAAAGCTGTATCCAAGTCCACAGCCATGGCCTTGTTAGACGTCGAAAAGGCGTTTGACAATGTCTGGCACGACGGACTTATATACAAGCTTTGTAACTCCAACTTTCCACCATACCTTGTGAAAATCACCCGTAACTATCTCCAGCAAAGGTCGTTCAGGGTGTCGTTGAATAGTTCCCTTTCGGGACAATTTCCGATCCCAGCAGGTGTTCCGCAAGGGAGTCTGCTGGGACCACTGCTTTACAGCATCTACACGTCGGACATCCCTCCTCTAGGAGACGGTTGCGTGTTCTTCCTGTTTGCAGATGACACCGCGATAGCCGTCAAGGGTAGTGTTGAGACGCCGCTTGGACACCCCTAGTTAACGAGCATAGCTGCAGCATGACAGCTCGCGCGCTGGAGTGGTAGTAGTAGAAAGTACAAAACAATACAGATGATAGTGGAGATAGTACATAAAGAAAACAAAACAAAACAGATAGAAAAGGATAAGTTCGCCATTGCAACAAAAGTCGGTTGTTTACGGTGCAATTTGTAGCAATTAAATTCAACAGTAAAAGTGGTTTATTGAGTTCAATTTCGCAATTAGCTAACAGGTAGTGCAACAAGAATCGGTCGGTTCAAATCGTGGTTCAAAGCTGTAAGTAGTGAGAAGAAGTGAGATTAATTCATTTACTTACCTGATTGTGTTTCTCCCAGAAAACCCACCAAACAGATTACGGTGAGGGTAGCGGTACTCAAGTTCGCCAAATTGAGGGAAATCAGAAAACGGAGTCTAGTGGTAAAGGAAACCACTTTGTTGTGAGTAATTTACTTAATTATTATTATGATTATTTATTGATGATAAATAAATTACAGTTTAAGCGTTGCATCAAAAAAAGTTGCTGCTTTAAAAATTTGGTTTCCCTTCGGGAACAGGTAGGATGCCTCGTGAAATTACGAACAAGCTCCAACGAATGCTTGACACCTTTACTGATTATGCGTGGAAAATCAAAATCAACGCCTCGAAAACCCAAGCGATCATGTTCCTTCACAGACAATCACCAAAACTTAAACCGTCTCCCTCCTGTACCGTAATAATGGATGGTACAAGGGTCGAGTGGTCCGCTGATGTTACTTATCTCGGGATGTTGTTCGATGAGAAGCTCCTGTTCCGCTCGCACATAGAGAAAACCCTAGTTAAGTGCTCCGCCTTGGTTAGGTGTTTGTATCCGCGCATTTGCCGCAGATCCCGCCTCTCAAGGCAAAACAAACTGGCTGTCTACAAACAGATCATAGCCCCCGCGATCTTCTATGCCGCCCCGGTGTGGGAATCGTGCGCTCAGACCCACAGGAACAAAATCCAGGTTGCACAGAATAGAGTGTTGAGGATGATCCTAGATCGTCAATTCGACACAAGAATAGCAGACCTCCATCAAGAGGCAGACATTTCCAAAGTACATTCCAAAATTGAGGATATGACAACCAAATTTATCGAAAAATGCAATCTTTCTGAACATGCTTTAATAAGCAATTTGTACATAAAGGGTGATACGGTCAAAATTTGGTCAATATCAACTTGACGTATTTCTTTCAATTTTGCATTTAAAAAA